GCGTTACTGAAGTGTTTAGCGGCGGTAGGCCATAAAGCGGTTTCGTTGCTACTTAGAGTTCGGACCACTCTTCTTTCAGTGGCTTATGAAACAACCAGACCTAACTGGTAGATTAGCCCGTTGGGTATTTAAATTACAACCCTATTCTTTCACTATAAGCCACAGAAAGGGAAGAGATCACATAGTGCCGGACGCTCTGTCGAGAATTCCTAATCCTGAGGTATCTGCTTTGGAATCCGTGGAACCGGAAATAGATTTAACTTCCAGCTGCTTTGACGACCCCGACTATACCCACCTAAAGGATAAGGTTAATGAAAATGTACAAAAATATCCAGATATAAAAATCCTGGATAAGTTTGTATATATAAGAACTGAACATTATTCGGGAGACCCGACCGAAGAAGAAAAAGCTTGGAAACTATGGGTGCCGATTAATTTGCGACAATCCGTAATATCCAGAGCACATACTTCTCCAATAACCGCCCATGGAGGAATGGGTAAAACTATCGAACTAATTCGTAGGAACTTTTACTGGCCTGGGTTACTAACCGATGTTCGAAAATATGTGGAGCAGTGTGATGTATGCAAAGGGTCCAAACATCCAAATACAGTCCTCCGTCCCGAAATGGGGAAAACTGTACCAGTTGTCCGACCTTTCCAACGCATATATGTCGATATTCTAGGACCTTATCCTAGATCGAAGAATGGCTATATTGGCTTATTTATTGTGTTGGACCATCTAACCAAATTTCATTGGTTATGTCCACTGAAAAGATTTTCTTCAAAGCCGATTCAAGAATTCCTACTAAAAGACATTTTTCATGTTTACGGCGTACCCGAACATCTAGTGAGCGATAACGGTTCCCAATTTAAATCGAACGAGTTCAACGCTTTCCTCACCAAACTTGGAATAACGCACGTGTATACGGCATTATACTCCCCACAAGCAAACGCGTCGGAAAGGGTGAATCGTTCGATTATCGCGGGAATCCGTTCTTATTTAAAAAGTGACCACAAAATGTGGGACGAGCATATAAGCTCAATAAGTTGTGCCCTAAGGAATTCCCTTCACACTACCATTAAATGTTCGCCTTATTTTGCCACTTTTGGTATACACATGATGACTCATGGCGAATCCTATCGTCTCTTAAGAAACATTCAACTTTTAGATGAACCGTCGGTATCCTTAAATAGAGAAGATCAATTGGCTATTATAAGAAAAGAACTGAGGAAAAACATACTGGCTGCCCATGATGTCAATAAAAGGCATTACGATCTTCGAGCCCGACCAACCTCCTATAACGAGGGTCAAACGGTTTACCGCCGTAACTTTGCTCAGAGCAATGCTGCAAACCAATTTAATGCCAAGTTAGCACCGGTTTTTATTAAAGCTACAGTCCTATCGAAAATTGGAAATAATTACTACAAACTGCGAGATGAAGAAACTGGCGCTACTGGTACGTATCATGGCAAAGATATACGTTCTTAAAAATTGTATCTCCTGTTAATATGTTTATAAATTTATAAATATTACCAGGTTTGTAATATTGAGATGTTACTGTTCATTCATTGGTAACAGTAAGATGTCAATAACATCAGTAGCTATGTTACTAACAGAAAGTTTCGTGATGATGTTACAAGTATTCTCCATCTCCCTGTTACATATTCGCTGTAAGCTGAGATAGTTCTAAAAATAGTAACCGCTGGCAAATTACAATGTAATATTCTTGTTCTTCCCACTCACAACCACAACAACGATAGGCAAACGGACGGACGTTAGACGCGCATACCCGAGGTTCGAGGTTCAATCCTCACTTCACTCTTAATATTTTTTTATTATCTGGAAACCATTGGTTTTTTTTGTAAAAGGGCATTCATAGATGGACACTAAGCAAAATTGATAGATGATATATAATGTGTATGTTAATTCATTGCTATTCTTTTCCCAGCGTTTTCGATAAATAATAATGCTGCATTGAAGAAGACCATTGGGTACCGCAAGCTGCAAATTGTGTGACCTATACGTCTTTATGATGTTACACCTCTGCTAACTTCCTCTGTCGCTCAGGCCAACCTAATTGGTTGATGAAGTGTACTAAAACATGATCCGATTATTTAAGCCTATCTTCACTGTAAGTCGGAGTGGGGGGATGCATAAGGCAAGTCACGTTATTTTGCAGCCACATTTTTCTGTTGTATGGCTGAGCGGTATTGCGTTTCGTCGTTTCTTGTAGCTACTGACTAGTGGTGAATTTGTTTTAACATTTTGCCTTTGTGGTTTCCTAATCGATTGACAGAGTATCATGATTCTTTTACATTTCAAATCCCGAGCTGAGCAATACATACAGCAGTGATAACATTTAGAGGAACAAAATACATATTATCACAGTAAAATTAATTTTTAAACTAAAATTTACTAAATAACAACTCCGTACAAGAAGTGTGTCACCTTTTATTCGATCTATATTAAAAGTGAATAAAAAAAAAAAATTTGGAAGGTAAATATTGATTGCCAGAAATATAAAATAAATCAGTGTTAGATAACTGGCTGTATTTCTTTTAGACCCATAGCCAATCACGTTTTGCAAAGTTGCCGAATGCGACTCCACTTAGGAGATATCTGGAACCTGCATAAAATTGGCGGTTACGCCATTTTGAGGGCTTCCAACGTGATACATAATTCAGCTTGTGAACTTTAAAACTTTGACATGGTGGTCATTCTACGGGTCGCATTATAGCGATCTTTACACTTGGTGGATGTCTAACATAGTATTTTAATGTTGCTATCAAGAAGCCACCTCTATCCTCACCAATCAATCATCAGAATATCATACGGAAAACTGACCCAAACAAATTAATCTGCATGTGATTTTACCGTAAATTTGGGGCCCTCTTCAAAACTCATCGCACATTTATTAAAGTGTTCCACAAACCTACTATTTATGATTAACAAGGCGGTCATCTATTATTAATTTAACTGTGGATATCTCTCTTATGCAGCCAGACATCATAAGCATAAAATTGGTTTAGCAAAGGTTACAGTGGATAAAGTTCAAGCTAAAGAATAAGTATATATTTCCGATCTAACGATAACCTTACTAACTAAAATTTAAGTAACCCTATCATTTGTGTGGTATCCTGATCTTCAAGGCCTTACATAACCTAGTTCAATCTGATCGTGATTAGCACTGAATCATGAATGTTACATAATTATTATCCACTATTAAGTTTAAAGAAAGATGTTACTATAGTAACCCAACAATGATTTAATAGAACCAATAATTGAAATACCACAATTACCACATATTCTCTAAATTAATTTCAAGTTTCAAAAATTTATAAATATTGTCTAGAGTAAAAATTAATTAAAACTAGAATTATTCGTCAATGTAAAACATAACTTTACCAATGTCGCATATATTGAAGTCTATTTAAAGAGATAAAAAAGATCAAGATGAATTATAGCTCTCATTTTAATTTAAATTACAAAAATAATGAAGTCATGAATATCTTATTGTTTACCCCGTTACAATATGTTAGCCTTAGCTTTTTACATTATTAAAGTTATGTTTCACAGTTATGAAACCAACATATATGATGTTTGATTCGAACATATCTGATTATACATAAGCTACTGAAGTAACAGAGATTTATAATAAACGCTGTTATCTACAGCAAGTTGTTAACATGAACGCTTAAGAAGTTTTTGTTCTTACAGGGGAATGTAAGTAGTGGGAATGATATTTACATAGACATGTTAGGGATCTTTTTAACAGTGCCAGGCCAAAAGATCATGGTAGGGTTAGGGTTTAGAGGCCATAGGATCAATAAACACCTCTCAACGCAATTACAGCGTTACTGAGAGAGAGTGTTTAGCGGCGGTTGAGGCCATAAAGCGGTTTCGTTGCTACTTAGAGTTGCAAGACTTTGAAGTAGTAACGGACCACTCTTCTCTTCAGTGGCTTATGAAACAACCAGACCTAACTGGTAGATTAGCCCGTTGGGTATTTAAAGTACAACCCTATTCTTTCACTATAAGCCACAGAAAGGGAAGAGATCACATAGTGCCAGACGCTCTGTCGAGAATTCCTAATCCTGAGGTATCTGCTTTGGAATCCGTGGAACCGGAAATAGATTTAACTTCCTGCTGCTTTGACGACCCCGACTATACCCACCTAAAGGATAAGGTTAATGAAAATGTACAAAAATATCCAGATATAAAAATCCTGGATAAGTTTGTATATATAAGAACTGAACATTATTCGGGAGACCCGACCGAAGAAGAAAAAGCTTGGAAACTATGGGTGCCGCTTAATTTGCGACAATCCGTAATATCCAGAGCACATACTTCTCCAATAACCGCCCATGGAGGAATGGGTAAAACTATCGAACTAATTCGTAGGAACTTTTACTGGCCTGGGTTACTAACTGATGTTCGAAAATATGTAGAGCAGTGTGATGTATGCAAAGGGTCCAAACATCCAAATACAGTCCTCCGTCCCGAAATGGGGAAAACTGTACCAGTTGTCCGACCTTTCCAACGCATATATGTCGATATTCTAGGACCTTATCCTAGATCGAAGAATGGCTATATTGGCTTATTTATTGTGTTGGACCATCTAACCAAATTTCATTGGTTATGTCCACTGAAAAGATTTTCTTCAAAGCCGATTCAAGAATTCCTACTAAAAGACATTTTTCATGTTTACGGCGTACCCGAACATCTAGTGAGCGATAACGGTTCCCAATTTAAATCGAACGAGTTCAACGCTTTCCTCACCAAACTTGGAATAACGCACGTGTATACGGCATTATACTCCCCACAAGCAAACGCGTCGGAAAGGGTGAATCGTTCGATTATCGCGGGAATCCGTTCTTATTTAAAAAGTGACCACAAAATGTGGGACGAGCATATAAGCTCAATAAGTTGTGCCCTAAGGAATTCCCTTCACACTACCATTAAATGTTCGCCTTATTTTGCCACTTTTGGTATACACATGATGACTCATGGCGAATCCTATCGTCTCTTAAGAAACATTCAACTTTTAGATGAACCGTCGGTATCCTTAAATAGAGAAGATCAATTGGCTATTATAAGAAAAGAACTGAGGAAAAACATACTGGCTGCCCATGATGTCAATAAAAGGCATTACGATCTTCGAGCCCGACCAACCTCCTATAACGAGGGTCAAACGGTTTACCGCCGTAACTTTGCTCAGAGCAATGCTGCAAACCAATTTAATGCCAAGTTAGCACCGGTTTTTATTAAAGCTACAGTCCTATCGAAAATTGGAAATAATTACTACAAACTGCGAGATGAAGAAACTGGCGCTACTGGTACGTATCATGGCAAAGATATACGTTCTTAAAAATTGTATCTCCTGTTAATATGTTTATAAATTTATAAATATTACCAGGTTTGTAATATTGAGATGTTACTGTTCATTCATTGGTAACAGTAAGATGTCAATGACATCAGTAGCTATGTTACTAACAGAAAGTTTCGTGATGATGTTACAAGTATTCTCCATCTCCCTGTTACATATTCGCTGTAAGCTGAGATAGTTCTAAAAATAGTAACCGCTGGCAAATTACAATGTAATATTCTTGTTCTTCCCACTCACAACCACAACAACGATAGGCAAACGGACGGACGTTAGACGCGCATACCCGAGGTTCGAGGTTCAATCCTCACTTCACTCTTAATATTTTTTTATTATCTGGAAACCATTGGTTTTTTTTGTAAAAGGGCATTCATAGATGGACACTAAGCAAAATTGATAGATGATATATAATGTGTATGTTAATTCATTGCTATTCTTTTCCCAGCGTTTTCGATAAATAATAATGCTGCATTGAAGAAGACCATTGGGTACCGCAAGCTGCAAATTGTGTGACCTATACGTCTTTATGATGTTACACCTCTGCTAACTTCCTCTGTCGCTCAGGCCAACCTAATTGGTTGATGAAGTGTACTAAAACATGATCCGATTATTTAAGCCTATCTTCACTGTAAGTCGGAGTGGGGGGATGCATAAGGCAAGTCACGTTATTTTGCAGCCACATTTTTCTGTTGTATGGCTGAGCGGTATTGCGTTTCGTCGTTTCTTGTAGCTACTGACTAGTGGTGAATTTGTTTTAACATTTTGCCTTTGTGGTTTCCTAATCGATTGACAGAGTATCATGATTCTTTTACATTTCAAATCCCGAGCTGAGCAATACATACAGCAGTGATAACATTTAGAGGAACAAAATACATATTATCACAGTAAAATTAATTTTTAAACTAAAATTTACTAAATAACAACTCCGTACAAGAAGTGTGTCACCTTTTATTCGATCTATATTAAAAGTGAATAAAAAAAAATTTGGAAGGTAAATATTGATTGCCAGAAATATAAAAAAAAATCAGTGTTAGATAACTGGCTGTATTTCTTTTAGACCCATAGCCAATCACGTTTTGCAAAGTTGCCGAATGCGACTCCACTTAGGAGATATCTGGAACCTGCATAAAATTGGCGGTTACGCCATTTTGAGGGCTTCCAACGTGATACATAATTCAGCTTGTGAACTTTAAAACTTTGACATGGTGGTCATTCTACGGGTCGCATTATAGCGATCTTTACACTTGGTGGATGTCTAACATAGTATTTTAATGTTGCTATCAAGAAGCCACCTCTATCCTCACCAATCAATCATCAGAATATCATACGGAAAACTGACCCAAACAAATTAATCTGCATGTGATTTTACCGTAAATTTGGGGCCCTCTTCAAAACTCATCGCACATTTATTAAAGTGTTCCACAAACCTACTATTTATGATTAACAAGGCGGTCATCTATTATTAATTTAACTGTGGATATCTCTCTTATGCAGCCAGACATCATAAGCATAAAATTGGTTTAGCAAAGGTTACAGTGGATAAAGTTCAAGCTAAAGAATAAGTATATATTTCCGATCTAACGATAACCTTACTAACTAAAATTTAAGTAACCCTATCATTTGTGTGGTATCCTGATCTTCAAGGCCTTGACGACAGCAGCACCCCAATCGATCTTCCGGTAAGTGGAAACTTTTCCATATGAAAATCTGAAATATAAAAGTTCTTTTGGCTTGAATATGTTTTTTTTTTTTTTTTGACATCGGTGAAACCTTTGCTATATTTTTTTTTTTGTTTCATAAATCAGTGCTTTTATCCCTCAGATTTGTAGATTATGTAATAAAAAAATTGTTCATTTCGGCAGTGTGAGAGTATATCAAAAAGCAATTAAAAATCTGCCAAAATTTAACCTAAACTCAAATTTACATAACCTAGTTCAATCTGATCGTGATTAGCACTGAATCATGAATGGTACATAATTATTATCCACTATTAAGTTTAAAGAAAGATGTTACTATAGTAACCCAACAATGATTTAATAGAACCAATAATTGAAATACCACAATTACCACATATTCTCTAAATTAATTTCAAGTTTCAAAAATTTATAAATATTGTCTAGAGTAAAAATTAATTAAAACTAGAATTATTCGTCAATGTAAAACATAACTTTACCAATGTCGCATATATTGAAGTCTATTTAAAGAGATAATAAAAGATCAAAATGAATTATAGCTCTCATTTTATTTTAAATTACAAAAATAATGAAGTCATGAATATCTTATTGTTTACCCCGTTACAATATGTTAGCCTTAGCTTTTTACATTATTAAAGTTATGTTTCACAGTTATGAAACCAACATATATGATGTTTGATTCGAACATATCTGATTATACATAAGCTACTGAAGTAACAGAGATTTATAATAAACGCTGTTATCTACAGCAAGTTGTTAACATGAACGCTTAAGAAGTTTTTGTTCTTACAGGGGAATGTAAGTAGTGGGAATGATATTTACATATACATGTTAGGGATCTTTTTAACAGTGCCAGGCCAAAAGATCATGGTAGGGTTAGGGTTTAGAGGCCATAGGATCAATAAACAACCGATCCTCTCATTATTTTATTGAGATATTTGTGATTGTTAGTTTTGCAGTTTTGTTTTGTTTTATAAGCATCCAATCAGGGGTTTTGATTTATTTGTTGGATAGCTCTGGACCTATAGAGTAGTTTCAGATTTTATATTTATTTTTTTTTAATATTTGCATATCATGGGAGTCTAAAATAAATTTTGTTTATGTTCTGATTGTATTTTTTATGTTTAGAAGGACAAGAACCCACCCCTTAACCGACTGTAAGCTAGTATCAATGGCTCCCGCTGTCTCTTCTAAATACACAAAAAACTTTGAATCTTAACACCGCACAATACAGTCATTGTTTCAAATGCTAGTTGGTATCATGCAGAACTCAAATAGAAATTAAATATTCAAATTGACTCGTTTGAACATTACACATATTTTACATCCAATTCGTCAAAAATCCTAAAAATTCCGAAACCTATGCGAGGACCATTACGTGGGTTGCAAGTTTATTTTTCATCCTTCTAGAACCAAGAAAAGCGAATAAAACCTTTAACCAAACATGAGGCCGAATGCCAAATTACAGCCTCTTCTGTTAAAAAGTATGGCTACAACGTTCAAAGTAACGAACATTCTCCTTGTCATTTTCACTTCAACTCGTCCATTTCTTACTTCACTGACACCAATACTAAAAAATTACTTAATTTAAAAATGGATTGAAAAAAACTCAACCCACGACTTTCTAGACTCAATTCGGTACGCTATCCGGAATCCGACGAACAGTAGAAGTTTGGTGCATTATTCACAGGAAACCGGACGAAATTATATATAGGTTAGAGGTCTAGGTTCTGTTAAATTAGTTAGGAGGGTAGACGGGGCTGCACACTCCTCAATAACCCACGTTTACGTCAGGTAGAATTCAAGATTGCTTGACAATTAAACCCAATCGACAACCATCGGTCCCCTGTCACCTTTGATTAAATTCAATGCAAGAGACCTCACGGCACTCTCGGCGACAAATGTAACTATATCTGGAAATATAGGGTAACATAGAAAAGATGTATAACTCAGTGCGTCACCTTTAAAAAATGTCTTCGGATATGGCGATGGAAAGCTGGAAATATTGTAGAGTATTGTGTCTTAGGAGAGGAATTTGTTACCTCGTAATTACGAACACTTTTTAAGAAAATCATTCAAATTCACCAAATATACAATTTATGGAGAAAGCTCAAGCACAAAAAAGTAAATTAAATTTATTATTTTTTTAAATGTTAAGGGGACCCCCCCCCATTCTCGGGGTCAAAAATTTTGTTGATATAATTCGAATCTACACTGATTACAGAATGTCTCTACAAAATTTCAAGTGAAAATCTCAAGAACTCTTGAAGTTATAGCCGATTTATTGTGTCAGCATCAAGTGACGGCTGAAGGGCTTCTCAAACTTTAAACGCGTTTTTCTCTAAACATTTTTTTGCGAATGGCGGGCACGATAACTCAAAAACTAATAATCCAATCGGTTCCAAATTTTGCAACGTTTCTCTGGGAGTGTATAGCTCTCGTATGAACTAGGATAAAGCCAATCGGTGAAGATCTTCCTTATTTTTTAACTTGGTTCTTGGTAAAAAATCGGCGATTTTCCAAAAATATTTTTTCAAAGGTCCACCATTTTGTTAATTTTAGAGCGAAGTCAATAATCCTAGTTCATACGAGAGCCAGACATGTACTCTTTCTAACACCGTTGGAATTTTCGGATTCCGATGTTGCAGTGAGGAGTTATCATGCCCGCCATCAAAAATAAGGACTTTTCTTTAATTACAAAAAACAACAACAAAACAATAACAAAAATTTTTTGTAAATTATTTTTCTTCTCTTTTAAATCTTCAATTATATATGTGCAAAGTTACAAACCTTAACTAGCATTTGTATTCATTTACCAGCCCATTGAAAATCTTGAAAAATTAAAATCGAGAATGGGGGGGTTCCCTTAAATAATAATAATAATACGAGTTGTGTGCTATGTTTTAGATTAAATTTCAATACCACCACACTGTGGTACAGGGTATTATGCCTTTGTGCATATGTTTGTAACAGGCAAAAGGAAACGAGATAGACACATGGTTCCTTTTGAGAATATGCATAGAATCACTTTCTGAGTCGATTTACGTATGTCCGTCCGTCTGTCCGTACGTCCATGTATTTTTGTGAACAAAGTACAGGTCGCATTTATGATCCGATTTTGATGAAATTTGGCATAGGTCACTTATTTGGCCCAAGGACGAACTCTATTGAAATTGGGAAAAATCGGTTGAGATTTAGATATAGCTCCCATATATTTGTTCGTTCGATTGAATGTAAATAGTGCACCAAAGCCCCTATATATCATTAGATTTGCCTGAAATTTGGCACAGG